GAATAACAGTCTTCCTGGTAGGACACCTAACTCTAACTCTAGACTCATCCATATTGTATATGTACTTTGTATGGTAGATTCCATATTTCGAATGTGTGTCCTGATACTCGAGAAAGAAGCTCTTTAGATCTTCTTCACTATGTATCGCAACTCGAACTCGGGCAATCAGTTTAGACTTAATCATATAAAAGTATGAATTCTTTTTGAGCCATTGACGAAACCAGACTTGCGAAGGTGGATTCTTTTTTTCTTGCTGTCTGAGATGACAAATAGCAGCATAAATGATGAAGAGAATTGCTCCTGTACTTATTTCTAATTGTTCTAAACAGAAGTGAAATGCTTCCTTCTCTTGAGTATCCGTCAAGATAATATTATTGCCACTATAGTGATTAAATGTACCATGAGAGTTCTGTTCTTGGTGTCACTAGTGAAGTTGGCACATTCAGATCTATGAGGGTTTCACATTGGAAATAATGGCTGCTGTACTTGCCTTTTCACTTGGCTCTTTATTAAGCCATTCCATTGCTTGATCTAGGCAGTACTTCATTTCAAGCTTACTCATGGAGTCCGGTATCGGTAAATCAGAAGGTGGGGCCTCATTGGTACTAATGGGAGAGGCTGGAAAACTGACAGGCGCAGCTGAGGAACTGGGGAAGATGACCGAGAAGCTAAGTGATGCCATTGCTGCAAAAAATAGAGTGCTGTTTTGAGGTGGTGAGAGTGGGTTCAGATAGAACAAGTGGAAAGAGATGAAAATTGATGGTTCTGGGCCCAGAGCTTAACAGTTGTGTCTCAAGTAAAATTCATTAACCTCTGGGTCAATCGTGAACTGTGTAATACTGGTGGGGTTGTTTGTTTTGTGTGAATGGGTGATTTCTTAAGGTGGAAAAAAAAAAAACTGTGGCATCACACTTGCTTTTGCATCACTTGCTTTTCCCGACTATGAGGGAAGCGAAATAGGAGGGTATTCGGCTATTATAGGAAAGGTGTGATAATAACTTTGTTCCCTTATTCGACACACTTTAAGCCAACAGTAAGGACAGGAGCATATATAAAACAGGGGAAAAATCGTCCCGATCCTTCCTTGGACACCATTTATATATATCCTTTCCCCCACGCATGTCCCCATTTCCCTGCCCACTCCTGTGACAACAAGTGGGAGACGCAGCGGCCAGTGGGGAACCTTCTCGATAAATCGCAATAACCGCGGGGCGCGGGGAACCACCCGTAGTAGTCTTGGAAGCACCTCGACTGACCACCGCTCAGTATCTTCCTTTAAATTAACCCTGGGATCTTCTGAGCCATCACTAACATCGCACTATTAGCTAGTATAGCTTCCTTTAATTTCTATTTTTATCATTTAATTCTAATTTTTACTTTGCCCTTCTAATTAGTTTCTCACTTTCTGTTCTTGTAGGTTCGTTGACAACTCTCGAGCCAGAAATCCTACCATCCTCCCCACTGCCTGGGCCTATAGCGCAATCACAAGAGTCTCAGATCATGGACAAACTTCTGCCGAGTCACTGTAGTGTCTAAAGTCTTCTCCTTTTCCCACCTACTTTGCCACCGTACCATATCATGCCACCCGGCCTAGCATACGGTCCAGAAGCCCTCTCCACTTTCCGGGCTCCAACGGTTCACTTGCAGCAGTAATATAGCCGGGAAACAGGAAACGTAAGGTCCACCGGATATCGGGAGGAGCATTAGCCGATAGACAACAATGGTAAACTCATAGAACATAGTCTAGTGGCGGGAGTAAGTCTGAGGCTTCTGTTATTCCGAAAGGGTACAACCACCACCTAATCCAGTCCCTTGCTTACCACAAAACCTCGATAACCTCCTAACCCCCCTATGAGATCTACAATAGAAAACATGGAAATTTCTGATATTGAAACACATTACAATACTAACCTACAGTTACTCGGCAATACTTGTAGTGGTCTCGCATTAGTCATGCACCCTCCAAATGATTGGGCATTAAGTGTCACACAACAAGCCTCATTCCCCGCTTTCTTCAGCTGTGATCAGAGAAATTTTATCAACTTCCCCACCCGATACCCCCTCAAGACATTTTACCATTTCCAAATTCAACCTATACTTTTGAAGGAATACCATGGCCCAGATAGCGCATGTCGAGCTCGGCGACAGCAACGCCAACTGCGGCAACATAACGGGCAGCTTCAACGTTTATAAATCCGACGAGGATGCGCAGATTATGCGCTGGCTCTCTCCTCTAGAGCCAAACAACAGGCACCAAGGCGTGCGCGATGACCGGTTTGACGGTGTAGGGGATTGGCTATTGGAAACTAGCGAGTTTCGGGAGTGGAGGGGCGGTGAGGGTGGTGTCGATAAGGCTGTCGTGTTTTGCAGTGGGAATCCGGGAGTCGGCAAGACGTATCTCAGGTAAGTGGCGGGACTCCTATAAAGGAAGCGATAATTGCTGAGGATCGGAAATTCTAGTTCCCTGGTGATTGATAGCCTATGCGATCAGGCGGGGGAGAGGAACATCATTGTTGGAGCCTTGTACTGCGACTTCCTTGCTCAGCAAGAGCAGACAATCACCAACATGATGGGGGCTATCTTGAAACAGCTGGTAGGCACAGGGGACATCCCGAATTATCTGCGGGAAGCGTTTCATAAAGCGAAAAGGGAGCTTGGTGGCAGAGGGATGCGACTTCCGGATCTGATGGGAATGTTGAGAACCACAATTGCTTCGCTGCCCCAGGTTTTCATCTGTATCGATGCGCTTGATGAATTCTTACCGAAGCATCTGCCGGAACTCCTTAAGTCGCTGAGGGATATTGTTCGGGAGTCCCCTAGGACGCGAATATTCCTCACTGGCAGGCCTCATGTCGGGGAAGATGTTCAGAGACATTTCACTAAGACCGTTGTGATACCCATCAGTCCTAACGAAGATGATATCAGGAGTTATCTGCAGATGAGGTTGGACGGGGACGCCGACCCGGAGGCGATGAACGATGATTTGCGGGCGGACATTATTGGAGCTATCTTGGAAAAGATATCTGATATGTAGGAGCATCTATCATTCTCACTCTATAATTGACCAATACTCACCCATGATTATGTGTAGATTCCTCCTTGTTTCGCTCAACGTTGACGCTATTTTGGGAGAGGTGACAATTCGTCAGAGAAGGAGGAAACTTGAAGAGATGACCAAGGGCAATGGATTGAGCGATGCATACACGGCAACTCTAACCCGACTGAAGGCGCAGAAGGGAAACAAATCAATGCTTGGACTGAAGGTCCTGATGTGGGTGTCTCATTCGGAACGGCCATTACGGACCGGTGAGCTCTGTCATGCCTTGGGGGTGGAGGTGGGATCTCCGGATCTGGATGTCGAAAACGTTCCTGCATTACGGACGCTCCTAGCATCTTGTCTAGGTCTTGTCACGGTCGAAGCGTCTTCGTCCACTGTCCGACTAGTGCACTTTACTCTACAAGAGCATCTCTCAAGTGATATAGCCCTATTCCACAGCCCCCACTCATCAATTGCGGAGGTTTGTTTGACATACCTCAATTTTGAATGTGTCCGGAATCTCTCGCCAACACTTCGGTCGGCCCCCCCGACAATGCCACTTCTAGGATATGCTTCCTGTTACTGGGGGGAGCACACCAGAAGGGAGATGACGGAAAATGTGAAAGCGCTTGCGTTAGGGCTTCTGGGTAGATTTGATGAGCATATATCTGCCCAATTAATGTTATTGCATTATAATAAAGAGAAAGGCCCTTATTTTGACGGAGTTGGAGGACCTATCGGACTCACAGGGCTCCACGGGGTAGCATTTTTCGGGATCGTGGAGATAATTGCTGCCATATTCAAGATGAAAGAATGGGGTATAAATGCAACTGATTGCATGGGGTTCACAGCTCTCACATGGGCAGTTATAAGAGGGCATGAGGAAGTATTAAAAGAAGGTCTTGGGAACGAGAGGAGGTCAATCCCAACAATGTAGACACCAGATAGGGCCGGACGTCACTCTCGGGGGCCGCTCAGAACGTGCATGAGGGGGTAGTAAAGATACTCTTGGAACGAGCGGATGTCAATCCCGACCGGGAGGGCATCAGTGGCCGGACGCCACTTTCGTGGGCCGCTGAGAACGGGCATGAGGGGGTAGTAAAGATACTCTTGGAACGAGGGGATGTCAATCCCGACCAGGCAGACACCTACTACGGCCAGACGCCACTCTCGCGGGCCGCTCAGAACGGGCATGACGGGATAGTAAAGATGCTTTTGGAACGAGGGGATGTCAATCCCAACAATGTAGACACCGAACATGGCCTGACGCCATTCTCGTGGGCCGCTCAGAACGGGCATGACGGGGTAGTAAAGATGCTTTTGGAACGAGGGGATGTCAATCCCAACCAGGCAGTCACCGAACATGGCCGGACGCCACTCTCGTTGGCCGCTCAGAACGGGCATCACGGGATAGTAAAGATGCTTTTGGAACGAGGGGATGTCAATCCCGACCAAGCTGACACATACTGCGGCCAGACGCCACTCTCGTGGGCCGCTGAGAACGGGCATGGCGGGGTAGTAAAGATGCTTTTGGAACGAGGGGATGTCAATCCCGACCAGGCAGACACCTACTACGGCCAGACGCCACTCTCGTTGGCCGCTCAGAACGGGCATCACGGGATAGTAAAGATGCTTTTGGAACGAGGGGATGTCAATCCCAACTAGGCATACAGCAAAAACACCACTTTCAAGGGCCCTCTCGAAAGGACATGATTGAGTCATAAGGATGCTACTTGAACGAGACAGTGTCAATTCTGATACAGCAGATCGCGTTGGTTAGGCATGCCTCCTGGACTCCGCTGGGCATGGGGGCAAGTGTAGCAGGTATGCCATTTAGAGGTAGTAACCTCAACATCGATACCACAGCAATATGTGGCCAATATGCGCTCCTATTGGCAGACCCAATAAGCGGGAGCCAGTATCGGACCTCAAAGACCCTCTCGTCCCAAGTCCGCAGATAGTGACCCCCCTCAACCGAGCAGTCCATGCGACCTGTAAGCTTCTAGCACCTCCCTCGGGAAAGCTGGCGCCCACCCTAGCATCACTCGGTAGATTCTCTCACTTGCGATCGACTGCCTGTCTTTCGGCTTTTCCCATTTACATTCTTCCTTCGTTACCTGAAATATTCCCGCTCCATAACTAATTGCCGAACAGTGTTAATAGGCTTTGATAGAGAGTGTTTTTTCCTGTTTCGACTCGCTATTTGCTCTGCATCTTCTTTCGATCTTTTTTTCTTTTCTCCACCTTTCCCTTTCTTGGATATCCGGTTAGACAGACTCGGTCCATGTCATCTCCTTTCTCGTTGTTCTCCATTCCTATTATTTGTCAATATCATAGCTATTTTTTCCTTCCCCGGGCGGCGGCGATAGCACAGCCCGCCTCAGGCAACGGGTGGGGATGGATACAATACTAAGTTAAGCTTAAGACGCTCGTCTTCTATATCCTCAAGTTGTCAGTTTACAGTAATATCCTTCCACCAATTTCTCTTTCAATACCACCAAGTGATCATCCGCCGATCTCTTTTTGCAGACTATATATCGTACTACCATACTAAATGCTAGTTCCGCCATATCTCATCACAGGAAGGTGCCCAAACCCGTAAAATAAAGCCCTAAACCTTCACTTTTCGAATACGCCCGTCCTTGAAATCATATGATACCAGATTTGGCCTAGCTTGCAATTCAGCAAGGGGGCGAAGACAAGGCTATCGTGGTTTGGCCCATTGTGTAGCAAGTACAGTCGATGCTTAGTGAAACAAGTAGGAATCTACACATAACGGTCTGTAAGTATACATCATTGATAGAGTTTGAAACGCTAAATGCTCCTACGCACATATCTGATATCCTTTCCAAGGTAATTCTAACAATATCCGCCCGTAAATCATCATTCACCGCCCCCGGCTCGGGGTCCCTGTCTAACCTCATGGCCAGATAGTTCCCAATATCAACCGTGTTTGGGCTGATGGGTATCACAACTGCCTTGGTGAAATATCTTTGAACGTGGGGCCTCCCGGTGAGGAATGTTCACGTCCCGGGGACTCCAGAATAACTTCTCTCGGCTGCCTGGGGAGCTCTAGCACATTCTTCGGTAAGCACTTGTCCAACGCATCGGTACAGATGAAAATTTGGGGTAGCGGGGCAATGGCGGCCCTTAGAACTCCCATCAGGTCCGGGAGTCTCAGCCCCCTCCCACCAAACTGTTTTCCCTTTATGAAACGTCCCGCGCGGATATTTCCGGATGTTCCCTCTACCTACTTGCTGCCTCAGAATAGCTCCCATCATGTTGGTGATTGTCTGCTCTTGTTTGGAAAGGTAATCGCAGTACAGGCCCACAGCAGCGATATCTCCCTTCCTTGCCTGATGGCACAGGCTGTCAATCACAAGGGAAATATCATAGCATTTCTGGCCCTCAGCGATATTCGCTTCTCTTCAAAGGACCCCACCACTTGCCTCAGGTACGCCCCGCCCACCCCGGATTCCCACCGTGAAACAAGACAGCCCTATCGACTCCACCTTCACTACTCCCTCACCCCCCGAAACTCCTTTTCTCCCAAATACCAATCCCCCGACACCGCCGAACTTCTCGGTGCGCGCGCTTTGATGTCTGTTATTTGGTTCCAGCGTAGAGAGCCAACACATACCCTGTGCATCCTCGTCAGGCTTATAGACGTTTTTACAACTATTCGTTATACTACCGTTGTGCGCACTGCCGTCGCCCATGTGGACCTGTGTATGTGCAGTCCGGGCAATGGTATTCTGTAAGGAATACTGGTTGAATGTAGAAATAGTCCAACAATTTGTAGGGATGTTAGGGGAGTTGTTGAGCTTTCTGTGAGCATGGGTGTCATGAAGAATGCGAGGCGGTTTATACTAACATTCCGGTATTGTGTGACGACCATTCTCCAATCATTTCCACTTGGGAATGTAGTGTGCGCGTGGTGGTGAAAGAATGACTTGTGTATTTCCTAGCTACGACGCCGCTACTTAAGAGAAATACATGTGTGCCAAGCCTCGCTCCCTAGCGTATGCCAAACCCTACTGCGCAACCCCAACGCCCATGAGTAGCTACTGGTACCTAGTGCCAACAGGGAAGGGTACATGGCAAATATGAGACATGTCTCACGAAGCACTTCTGTCGAGTGAGCGCATACCACAGACGACTACTTTCTGTTAGAATGCGGATCTGATGTTTGCACCAGTTTACTGCTGCATCGTTCTTTGTATGATCAATCGGGGCACTCATACTGCGCTATGTTGCTTAACTTTAACCCTGCAGTATGAATGCATAGGTTGCTGACTACGTATGCATTCCAACACACCGATAGTTGCCTTTATACCTACCTCCTTAAGCAGCGCTTTACTTTCCCATCCCTCTTCATCGCCGACTTCTTCTTCTCTAAGAAGCTCGGAGTGATAATCCTGCAACTGCAAGCACGAACACCGGCGAAGATCCGTAGATCCCGCTTAGTAAAAAAAACAAACCCGGAAGTGATAAATATCATGTACAGTACGTAGTCTGGGAGGAATATAATTCGGGGGAATAACCACAAGCTCCGGGGGTGTTTAGCAGAGGAGATTTGAAATCACGCAGTGTCTGGTAATTTGTCCCCAAATCACGATCTGGAAGAGTCATCCGATCCGGGGTTTGGATAATACTACCATATCTATGGCTATGCGGGGTATGTTATTAGAAATTAGTGCCAAAAAAAAAGAGAACCCCAGTCTACATAATAATAATATGAGGAATATACCCATCATGTCAAGTAACCTAAATTGCGACTCAAAATTATGGTCAAGTCAGTCGGGGGGTCTGGCAAGGCTTTGATTTCAAATCACGTTTGCCAAACGCCCCGCTCAAGTGCTCCGAGACAGCTCAGAGTATATATAAATCCGCTCAAATGTGTTCGGAAGAGCACGGGTCCGGCAGTCGGAAAATTCCGGGTATCATACTTTCCCACATCGCTATGTATTAAGGCCCCCGCCACCGCCCACCATCCGCAACGTCTTGCGTGGTATGACATTCGCCCCCGCCCTGGGTATCCATCGCCACTCTGTTGCCCAGGTAGTTTAACAGAGTGATGCTTCATGATTGCTGACATCAGGCTGAGATGTTACGATTGGAATGGGAGTTTCTAGTGGATTCTTTTTTTTCCCCGAAAATTTTTTGCTGGGGAGGAGCGAGGCTGCGGCCGAAAAAATCCCATGCACAGCAGTACCTATTTTGCGGGGGGGGGGGGTAGGAGAGGGCGTCCGGTGACTCACGTACTCGGAGAAATTATACAATCCATGGTACATTGATGCCTTCCAAAGTGGATGAGAAAGAAAGAGCGAGCCGAGAGGGATTTTGGTATATGATACTCAAAGCATTACGCAGGGGGTAGCGGTAGCACGGTCAGTTGCGGTAGCATGTTTGGAATAAGGGAGATAGGTGATTCACTTGGTGTTTGATATGATCGATAGCTTCACGGTATGATAACTCGATTCGGGAGCTGCGGCAACTCGGGGTCTGCGGACATATATCATAACTAGGGATTTCAAACATACGTACATTTATACCTTACTTTTTATACCATACATACCATACATACATGCATTAAAATAAGTAACCCTAAATCGATGACCCTAAAGAGTAAGTGCCCTGAATTGCTACCATAACTAGAGGTGGGCTATAATAGAAGCAACTTCTGTATCAACATTAAATTTTAATGTAAATTTTCACTTTACACCTTCAACAAACTTGAGATATTATTTGGGAGGTTATTATGAAAAACTAGTTACTGAAAATCGACTTGAATTTGTAACTAGGTTTTTTTTTTGCAATAAAAATTTAATGTATTCTTCCACATTTTCAACTCCTAGCAGTGATTCTTACAAAATGACTTTGTGGATTTCCGTGGGAACAATTTTCTTCTATCAAATATGTATCTCATAATATTAAACGGTCAAAAAGCGGTATTTTATGATGTTATACAGAGTTGTACAAATACGATACGATATCAACCCTGAACCACAACCCGTGTTCCGGCGACTTTTAGTACCCGAGTCATCACAAACTCTTTTATCATTCATACCATCGACTTTTGTCAAGTATTATCACTTTGCTCTATGTCTTATGATTTTTGGTGACCCTCCTACATTTGTTATTTCCCTCCAATCCGTTAAAACATGCTCGAGAAAATTTTACAACATTCCCTCTTGGCTTCGATTACCTCCTACGGGCATTACGACCCCAATCACAACAATGCAGATCACAAGTTTTTCCACAAATTTAATGCCAGAGTGGACACCACGTGATCCAGTCACCAAAATTGGGTATGATAGTATCATAAACAAATAGTTTATGTTTCAGCATCCGTCAATCTTAAATTTCGCAGTAACTAACCAGACTACAAGTACTGTACAGTACAGTAGCCGTGACACTCCCATAAAAAGCTGCTTACACTTAGGGCATTCACGCCACCAGGAGAAGAGGCAAAATCGATAAAAATAACAACATCAACGTCCAACGTCACCCTTGAAAAAACATGCGACAACAGGGTTCACCCATGGATACGGATTTTGAGAAAGAGAAAGAAGAGGTAACAAGTTCCGACCCAAAGATGTATGAAAGGTGCATACAACGTTTCATAATTCCTGCAAATCTCTTTTTTTTTTTTTTATTTAGTGCGGGGTTGTCGCGCTTCTTGATCATGACCCCCTGCTTAGCGGTAGAGTATATGTGAAATAATGTAAGGGGTGGTGATAATAGACGCTCATCATACTCTACCCACGAGCACTGCGTGCGAGCTGAGATCTACCAGTTAGGATGACTATATAGAGAGATTGAGGACATCTCAATTGAGGGGCCCACACACCTACCCACCTACCCACCTACCCACCTACCCACCTACCCAAGGCCAGATCATGCCTCCTACCTCCTCTATTCAAGACAGCAATTGAGATTATTCACTAACCATGGTATGATACTATACAAGAACCGTACGTAGCGCGCCGTTCACAACAACCTGGGAAAAAGGACTATCGGATCATGACGATACCCGCTCAATGCCATATCCCCCATGAACAAAGATTCGACAATACCGCCAACATACTACCATACCGGCCGGCGAGAAGCTCTCGCAAGGCGCCAAGCACAGCACCCTTCTCCTCAGACAAAGATTCTTTTTCGTAAAAGTAACTTGGCCGTTTTGTCTCAAACCCGCAATAAAATAGACCATCCCCAAGTATCATACTAAAAAAAAATTAAAATTAAAATTTTTTTTCAGGGCTCTCTCCCACTTTAACGTAATCTCGAGTTTCAACTTCAGACGCTCCTATCCCCTACCAGTCCGATAGGGCTGCCCCGGACATGGCGGTCAGGTCGGGCAACCCCTCACGATGCCAATTTCACCTGTTCAAGTGGTAACAAGTATCGCATCGTCGTTGGATTAGACTGGAGAACCATGTACGAGTACTGTACAGTACCAGAGTTAATCAGTCAGTAAGTAAGTCAGCCCCGGGGTTTTTCCCACCTGTGGGATACCCTACCGACGGAAACCGGACCAGATGGACATAAAGATCGAGTGGGCCAATCACTGGAATGATGATGGATGAGTGAATTCTTTTTAAAGGTTAAGGGGTAGACTATCCCATAATCCGCCCTACGGAAAACAGCAGCCAATGGACTGCGAGACGAACCAACCAACCCAACCAGTAACGGTACAAGTACAGTACTGTGGTACCGGCGGCCGGCCCGGTTCGAATCCAATCTGGAACTCAGCAAGATGTTCAAAACATGATAAAATTCGAAAACGCACGAGAGCGATAGAAAGTCATTACTATTTACGTAAGGTGGGGAAATATTTCAATGTTTTTGATTTCCCCGCCCCCCGCCAAGCGCTCCTATCCACATAAATTACACGCGCCGCCACCGCTACCCTCTACACACGGAGCTCTTACAAGTCGTGTCACTCGAACCCGGGTACAGCTGACTGGACCCGATTCCTGAAACGACAAACGTAATGTACTGTACTGTACTGTACCCACCGTGCCTCGCAATAAACTGGCGGTACAACCACGCATCGGTAGGAGTCGGGGCGAGATGAGGAGGGATTTAATTTGCTCTGCTAGTCGCTATATATATATGCGCTCAACAACGAACAATCTTGGAATGAACAGGTATTTTGGACTTGGTTGGAAAGGCAACAGAAAGCTTTTAGTTAAGTGTTCCCATGACAAGTATGATACCGGTATGATGGTTTTGAGCGCCCCACCGTGTCCCCCCTGCACGGGGAACTGGCAAGAGTCACGAATAAGGCCGGACGAGCCCCCAGCAGTTTTTCCAGGGCAGCTTCATCTCAGCGAAACTATCCTTGGCTTGGATGCCCTGCCGGTATCATAATATTATAGCGGGCGACGGAAGGGTAAGGCGAGGAGATGTCCTGAGTGATGTTTCGTGATTGCAGCCCTACACATATCTATTCGGAAAAAATGAACAAACACGTGGAATGAGTGAATGAACGAACGAATGAGTGAGGGTGGTAGAGGTCTCTAGGTTTTTATTTGTGGCTTTTTTTTTTCCCTTCCTCCTCCTTGGAATAACCCTTCGAGGCTCGAATTTCTGGCTCAGATATCCACAACTCTGGGCGCATTCGTCTATCCGAGAGGAGTTGAAATGGGGGGTAGCAGCTACATGATTTCGAAGTTGTTCACTGGAGATACACACCGTATGGTGCGCCCAAGTCAAGTAGATTTTACAAAGACAGTCTTGATTCCACAAAGTGATGGATGAATAAAGTAGCATGTCGCTATGGGAGACATAGATGTGGTCGAGTTGCGCAAGATTAAAAACTTCCGAGGACGGAGGTCGCTATATCAGACGCCAGGGTGCATATCATAGCCTGGCCAATCCTGTCTCTATAAGACTGACACCATCGGGAATACTGCTTACCCCAGAATTTCAGGAGTAGGGTAGGGTGAAACGGGACTAAATGGTGCGGACCAGTTATCATAATAATAATAATAATATTATTATTATTATTATTATTATTATTATAATACAAACAAACAAATTATTACCTAATCCCTTCAAGGTCTCGACGGGCCTACGCTGATGATGGAATTTACTGAATGGACAGATGGTTACCAGCAAGTGTATCCTATAACCTATGTTCGTGAGAGTTGGCCCTCAATTCAGGTCACGGCCATGCTCTCCGAACCCATCAAAGGTTTTCCTTCCTTCCCCTCTCCTCTCCTCCCCACCAATATCAGCTCAATTCCACCACCAGCACATAAAACATCCAACTTTCTAAAACCTTCAACTCAAATCTCCATCAACCTACCGTACTCAATCCAAGGGTATGTATGATATTCTCACTCACACACACACACACCCAATCAATAGATAAACACCTAACCCTCAGAACCAGTCAAAATGCTCTCCCCAAAGCACCTCATCCTCCAAGCGCTAATCCTAACAATCCTCGCCGCACTCGCCACCTGCTCTCCCACCACCACCGATAGCGCCTCCAATGACGTCTCCGGCCGCTCCGAAAACCCCAACATCCTCGACAACGCCCAATTCGAAGCCTCAGGCCTGCCCCTCATCACCCTGGACCCATCCACCGACGACCCCAACGGCAGGGTGGTCTGCGAGACCTCGGACGCCAGTCCCTGGATATGGAACTCCCGCCGCCTCGCGGCCTGGTTCCCCATCTACTTCCGCGGCTGGTGGTGCTGCAATTGGAACGTCGACGGCGGGGGCTGCTCGCACATCATGACCATCGAGGACGCCAGCACGGCCATCTGTGGGAACCAGGGGTGCATCAGGTGTGAGGATTTGGCCATGAATATTTATAGGATCGGGAATTACTGCTTGAGGGATTCTAGGGCGGGTGGTGCGTCGTACCTTAACCAGGGGAGTCATGTCGTTCTTTATTAGTCTTGTAGGTTAGCTGGGTGCAATGGGCTTTCTGTGATTTCCACTACCCTATTAGTCTCCCTTTCGTAAAGCCTTTTTTCTCCGAGGATGCCGTGAGTTGACGTAAATACATTGACGCTCGCGCTAGAACAAATCGTACCGCCGCAATCCCGCATAACCTATGCACGAGCTGGGAAGAAGTACAGTACGAGTACTCGTACAGTTATCGCATTACCCAAGAGTCCATAAACAGGCACGACCCGGACAACCCCATCATCCGTCCACAAACCCTAAAAACCGCCAAGAATCTTTCTTTACCGGAATAAAACCGACTTATTATTAGTTTTCGCCCCGGGTCCGTTCCGTGCCGGTTACTAGTACTCGTACTCGTACGAGTAAATACCGCTTCATCCGTCGATTCCCGTTTCGGAATTTTTCCGTGGGTTTTTTTGCGATGCTTACTCTCTGCGGAGAAGCGGGGCGGGGAGGAGAGGGGAAATATGATGTCGCAGGTTTTGTCCGAGAGTTGGATTTGCTAGACTATCATGATCGTGGAGGGCATTGGACTGTCGACTATCCGTCCCAAAGTTATGTTATTACCGGATACCGGCCAAGGCTTTCCTTCTCGTATCCTCCCGGGAATCCTAGAGAAGGAGGTTCGACTGCTACAGTATGATATAGTCCGAGCGGTCTTTTGGATTTTTCGCGGTTGATATTGTACTGTACTGTGCTCGTACTCGTAGGTTAACATGGCTTTGGTAATCATGCCTTTGGTCGCGGCCAATTAAGTCATCGTGAATACATGACAGAAGACTACCGTAGACTACCCCCCACATCGCACTTGTACTCACAATAATTCCCATTTCATTCATTCCTATTACTCCGACCAACACCGCTAAAACCGCTGCCATGATACAATCATACCGGTACGGTACTTCACCCTGTATCTGCAAAGCAAGTCAGGATTTACCCCGTAGTCTAACCGGGCCTTCTCTTTCTTTCCGTTCGGTCAGATATACTCTATAATAATAATAATAATAATAATAGATTATAATAGATTATAGTAGGTAGATGATAACAGCGCTCCTTCTGCCTCAAATTCATTCAGCTCAGGTCGTCATCACCATTGGGGTGGTTTAGAGATTTGGGTAATCTTACAAGTATTGTACTGTACAGTACTTGATTGAATTTAAGATATCCCAGGATACTTTTACAATATCGTGAAAACATTCTTGGATATGATGATAGTACTGTGCGAATTCCTCCTACACCTGGAAAATTTACCGTACTTACTTACTCACTTACCAAGTAATCGCCTCCAACCTATCGCAAAGAAACTTATACCATACCCTAATATTATATTCCAATCCTTTTTTTTTTCTCCCATCGCCGCATTGAAGCCTTCATCTCCCTACCTACCTACCTACCCACCTACCTACCTACCTACTCGCGGAATCCACCCCCGAAGCGAGTCGGCTCGTTCTGGTTTGGTCTCATCTCATCTCGAGGGAAAATTTCCGAACCACAATACGGTAACTGCGACTACCGACCGGTAGGACGCAGGTGGGGTGGATGGGGTTGGGATTTTCGCGGTGGTGGTGGTGTTGTGGCTGGTTGGTTGCATCTCCCTGTGCCACAACCTAATCTCGCGGCGAAAGCCATCATTCCCTGTCCGACCATCCACCCGGATCACGGGAACTAGCTTGCATCACCTTGAAACTTGTTCAATATGATAGTCTACCGGTATCCTACTTGTACGATACGATTACTCGTACAGTACCCTCCTAGACCCTAGACTATAAAAGTAGAGGAATGGTTTAATTTAAACTATCAAGATAGGTATAATATATGTAACTCTCTTCCTTCTTTCCAAACAGACCAGACCAAAACAAAACCTGAGGGGTAAAAAAATAAAAATAAAAATAAAAAACCCTCGATATCGTCAAATTTACAAACATGGTGAAAAGAGGAAGGAAAAATTGAATGAGGATGGATGAAAAAACAAAAAAAAGGGTACGATACTCAAGTGTAATGTTCAGATGATAAGAGAAGAAGGAAACAAGGAAAAAGAAAAAACTCCTAAATTAGACCCCAATAGGAATTTCCCCGCTACCAACCGACACACCGAACCCCGCACCACATTTCCCCTCCCCCAAAGGAAAATTTGAAAACCACCCTTTCCCCATACCCCCCCGCCCTTTGCATTGTTACATGATAATCGTGAATAATATGAATGAACAAGGTAAACGGTATGAGAAAAAGAAAAGAAGAGAAAAAAGCCAAAGGCAACCACCCAGTGTAGCAAACAAACAAGTCAAGAAAAGAAAAAAAGAAAAAAGAAAAAAAGACAAATAACCCCCCTGCCCCTAAATCACGATAAGCTTCTCCCGTTTCAGACTCCATTCACACACCGGCATTTTATCCAAAGAACTTTGTAGCTTGGATCGTCGGGGCTGTAGTACATCTTATTGTCTCCTAATCTAGACCTTGCCAGCGCGGAAGATATCACTCCACTTGATCTTAATAGGGTCAACCCTTGCGGTCTGGCCGCCGCCGGGGGTCTGCATGATGGTGACCGGGAGTGCCATCGGGTACGGCTGCCCCGCAATCTGGACATACTTGACGAATCCGCCGTCTGGGCCGGGGACGGTCGGAGCCTTGTCGGCAGCTTCTTGGATTTGCCTATAGTAGCCTTTTCCACCCGTTAGTCCCCGCTGACGCCGAGGAGGAGAAGCAGGCGGGGAAAGGGGTAGGAAATGGAGGATAGGCTTACCTCGAATTTCCTTGGTTCGGTTCCAGAGGTAGTTTTGCTCCTGCTTGTCGACAGCACGGTGGACGAGGAAGGAATCGTGCTGCATCGATTGTTAGCACCCTTTTCGCTCTCTCGGGGTTAGTATGGGGTGGAAACTGACCTCCTCGGTATACGAGATCTGACGCTCGTCAAGTGCCTCCTTACAAAGGTGGATTTTGGAGAACTTGGTGTATGTTCTTCGGGCAGGTTGTTGTGGCTGCTGCGGGGGCGGTTGTGGTTGCATGGCCATCAACCCGGCCCGCACCCTAGCGTCGATCTCCTCCTTCTTCCTTTTCTCCTCTTGCTCCCTCTCGCGAGCCGCCCTCTCCTTCTCCTCGAGGAGCCGCTTCGCTGCGTCCTCAATCCTCCTGCGTTCTTCCTCCTCTTGTCTCTTCCTCCTCTCCGCGGCCTCCATCTCCTGCTTCCTCTGCAGCATCAGCTTCTCAGCTACCTTTCGCTCGATCTCTTCGGTTCGGAGTTTCTCTATTCTAGCGTTCTCCTCTGCCTGCTTCTTGCTTTCCGATTCAGCCTTGACTTGCTTTAGCTGTAATTCAACGTTCTGCAAGTGTTTGGTAAGTGAAGCAAGCTCTTTGTTGTGATGGTGCCCATCGGGACCATGATGAAACCCAACTTCATAACCGGTGGGGTCGGCAGAGTCGCAGGAATCGCAAGATGAAGAGCGGGAGTGCCGTCCGCCCACTTTCGAGTGTGATCGAGAGTGAGTCTGAGAACCGTAGGAGGAGTTGCTGTAGGTTGACCCCTCCTTGTAAACCTTGCTGTTAGAGTAGTAGTAGTCAGTCCCCTGGCTAGGGGATCTTCGGCCCCTAGCGCCAGAGCGGGCCACCTCGACGTAGACAGGGCGGGTGCGGGATCGCTCCGAGTTGGACCTGGATACCCCTTGTTGGCCGATGGCCAGATGGCCATTGCTGTAGTATGGCCTGTCTCGTCCGCGTTCTGGGATGGTAATGAATGGGTCCCCACCACTTAATGTGCTTCTTCGGTTACGGGAGCTATCGCGCGAGGGCACCGGTGAGATGTTTGGGGAGACTGGGAAGATCATTGGGGAGGCGGGGTCCGCATATTGGACTTCCGGGGAGTAGGGGAAATCCGGCCTCGCTGGTGGTGGAGCTGGAGCCTCGACATAGCTGTACTGTGGGTTTGGTTGGTAAAAGGAGTCCATGACGACCTAGTCGCGGTTATAAGATTTGTGCGGGGTGACTTGGTTCGTTCGCAGGGCAGAGGGGGTGGGCTCAAGGCTCAGAATCTCAAGTGCACAGGGGGTGGTTTAAGGTTGTGAAAAAAATATGGTATCCTAATCAGTCGGTGGGGGGAAGGCTGGCAGGGAAAGACAAGCTTTATAATGTACTTTGTGGTGCTTTGCGGGTGGTTTGTGCGTTGACGGAGGGGGGAATTGTAGAGAAGCAGCGAAGGCGGATAATGAGGACCTTTTTAAGGGTGTCACAACGGGCCCCAAGGGTTAAAAGGGAAGAAAAAGGGAAGGGATGTGGGAGGGGTGCCAGGGTGAGTGTGTGGAACGACCGAAGGGGGGGGGCAGGGCAGAGAACGCATAGAGCGAGAAGTGTGTGGTGGGCGAGCTGGCACTGGTTGGCACTTGGGCAAGCACCATCAGCAGCAAGCTCGAACGCAAGCAGGGAGGCAGGCAGGCAGGCAGGCAGCAGCAGCACACCAGCGGCAAAGCGAGACTCTCGGAACGAAGGGGAAGGAGGGAGAGGGAGAGGGAGAGGGAGAAAAGCCAGCCCCGGCTAACGAACTAACCATCTGCCACCATCGTAATTATCGGAATATAGTCAAGAACCTTGGGATCAGGGCCATACCGTACCCGCAATCACTCAATCAATCAATGGAGAGAGAACTGAATATCATGCCCGAGTGCCCTTTTTGCCCCCAGGCACTCTAGCATTCATTCCCCCTCTCCTGTCACACACACACACACTCCCCCTCCATCCATCCAACCAGCAAGTCCGATATGATATGGACAAGCATACACATACCATAAACACGGGAATGCCCTCCCCTTTCTCACTACAGTACGGCACTCGCACCGCAAATATGTCCCAGCGGCGAATAAAGGGCAGATTGAAAAAAAAAGAGTAAGCAGCTTGTCCATCCACTCATCATGAACAATCCCATCCATCCCTGTAGACTACTGTAATCCCCATGTATTTCAAATCCAGCCCTCGACTCATTCACTCCATTTTCACTTTTTCTTTTCTTTCTTTCTCTATTCTCCCTTGCTCGCATCCGAACGGGTGAGTGAGTGAGTGAGTGACAGGAAAAGACCGGGGTACGACAATAACTATTATACGATGATGAGGCTCAGTATTGCAATTCACCTGTGTGATACTGTACGAGTACTTGCCGATTTTTCCATTACGACAATAATCCAGACTTGAGCTGTCCAAACATCTTCTCAATCACCTCCCCCCTGTTTTTTTTTTTTTTCTTCTCCCCTTCCCTTGAGAGGTTCTCGCCAGTCAGCCAGCAGAGAAAACGCTACGATAGGTGGGGTCCGGATACGATCAGGAAGTGGGTGGGAGAAATTAATCTTCAGTGGGCATGACTCACATTTGTTTCCCCCCAGTCAATTAACCAGATCATACAACGTCAAATCCCTACCATCCCTTCCTTCCTCCAATTCGCTGCGCACGCATGCAGGATGTGGAAGAATCGCTGGTTCTCCTGCTCTATCAGTGCTCCCCCCTCCTCCAACTGCGTGTACCCTATCCTATTCCCCCCCAATTGGGCGGGTGACGAAGGAGAACGCAAGCGCTCGTCACCGAGCGAATGGTTAAACAGGCGAAACGCAAAAAGAGGCGGAGCATCAAAAAAGACCACAACAGCGGGAGAAAAGAAAAAAGGGAGAGTCAAGACAACACAAAAAGAAGGCTGCGATTTTCCTCCTTGAACATAAGGACGGGAACTACATCATCATCGTCACTTCTACCCTATCCTACCTGCCGCACTCTAGGGCAACTCTTTGAAAAAGAGGGACAACTAACGGTCGGTACACATATTATCATTGTAGAGTTGCCTTGCATGAAGATTTTCCCCCCAAATCCCCCCGCCCCAAACCGGGAAAGTTAGAAAAGACGGGAAGAAGGAAAGAAAACCAAGATCATCGAAGCAGGGCAACAAAAAAAAAAAAATTTATCATAGGATAAACCACTTCACTAGATTTAATTAATTAGGGTTGCCCTGCCCTTACCTTATCGCGTCTATGATAGGCGCGTAGCGCCCTGGCTCCAGTTCCCGGTGTATTGGGTACACACATCACCAGCACAATTTACCTTGGGGACAAGGCAGCTACTAATGCTCCGCCATAATGTGCGGTCCGCTTCACACTGTTCATAGCAAGTTATAAGACTCCGCGTTCTCCCCTCTAACTCATCGATATACCCATTACTTTCGGGATTGGGGTACTGGTACTTGGAATAGGGAAGGAGCGGATGAGGGAGGGGTGGGGGGACTGGAACGGAAGGGGAGGAAGGAAGGAAAGGAAGACAAAGAAAAAGGAAAAAGAAAATACAATTGTTTTTTACTCAAAAAAATGTATTACTTTTTTTTTCCCTTTGATTTTCAAGGGAAGACGGACAAGCAAGAAAGGAATAAAAGAAGGGAAAGGGAATAGGGAAGTACGGTAGGTCAACCTTTCCTGTGTTGTCCAGTCGAAAGTGGCGAACCTCAGCTCGCTGCTTGCTCACCCTCCTCAGTCAAATCACCCGACTGTCATTATTCGGTGGCTATGCCATCTTTCCAGAAACCCGGGGAACAAGCAGAGGAGAAAAAATAAGCAGGAAAGTGTTGCACAGGAAGGGGAAAGGCAAGGTAGCAAAAAGGAAAAATAGGGTGGGTGGGTGTGTATGAGAGAGTGCGTGTGTGTTGTCAATTGTTCCAGGAAACCCAATCAATTGCGTTGCTCGCAGATTGAGATGGACGGATTTTGACGATAGATGGATGGATGGACGGGTCGAGATGATGGGATGCGCATTGGCGTGGAAAAAAAGGAAACAGAACGGGGAAATAATTAGCTGCGGGGGGGGCGGAGGGAGGAAAGCGAGGAATGAGCGGAAGATGGAGGGGAAGGAATTGGGGATGGAAAAGAGGAAAAAAAAAAGTGGAGTAATCGTCTATCATATGAAACTCTACTCCCACTTGTACCTCGCCAGCTGGACTACATTGATTCTCTTTCTCCCCTTCCCATCTCTCTCTACTCCTGTTCACCTTTTTTCTCCTCCTCTGCCCCTCTCTCCTTACGCTATTATTGAAGGATTGAAGGATCGTTCGAGGCATCTCGACTTGTCTCGTCTCTCTCAAATTCCCCACAGAACCCTCAACAGTGGGGGAGGGGAGAAGTCCCTGCTGGAATCCCTCGTTGGATTAGTTCGCATTGGTGGAACAACGCATTCCCTGCATACTTACGCGGTTACTTGCCGAGCGTACATCCTACCTGCCCCATATCTGGTCCACGGTACTCAATCCACCACTACAGTACCGGTCTCGAGCACCAGTACTGCACGCACGGTACTTGGCGGCACTTGCAGTGCTCATATGGATACCGCACTCGAGTACCGTAAAGACGGAAATTGGATCCCTTGCATAATATACAAAGTGCATATTGTTCACCAATTGTGTCTATTTATGGCTTCCACATCCTTCCAGCCACAGACTGGCACAGAGCGGTGCTTGCGAAGGAGGATTCATACAAAGTTCAATTCTAAATCCTTCCGGCATAGTTTGAGGATACCAAAAGGGAATGGGCGGATAAAGTATGCGGAGTCTTGGTTGGCTTGAAAGGGCAACCATATATTGCTCGGAAAGTGGTGTGGCTGGTTTGACTGGCCAGTAGCCTGTATACCCTTTTGGCAGACATATCGCCGCACATGTACACATCCGAAGACAAGACAAGTCACGTTCAAGAGCTGTGGATTTGGAGGTCGCTGGATGGGTCGGGCTATCCAACCGACAGCAGCTCACTTCTGTTCAATCCCAGGCCAACCAACTCAGCTGTCTAGACTATACTGTCAGCAATATCTAAAATAAATATCCCGAAATTGATATATTAAATTTTTCACCAAAGCTACCGCCACTCCCGCACTGAGGATATCAACTAGACGAGGGTGAAGCATGCAGAGCCGTGGATAATCTCCAAAACCCCTGGGATCTGCTAGAAAAAACATGGAAGAAAAAAACCCTCAGATGACTTTCGTAGATTCAGATTCGCAAGAAACTGCCCCATGGATATGTGCCCACGTAGCATGAAATCCGTAAGAGCTATGAGAAGAAAGTAAAAAATGGAACGCACACAAGCAACAGCGAGGTTGGTAAAAGTCGGGTTAGTCGCCGTCCTGTTCCCTTCGCTGTAGCCTCTCTGTTCCGATGTTCCTGTTGCAGCCTGTGGCAGCTGTTGAGGTAGCCATGTTTGCAACCGATCATCATCACAACTTCCATCCTCTCTGCAGAACTATTCCAACCGAAAATAACCGCTTCCCGCCCTCCCTTGAACTTTCAAAAGATTTTTTACTCCTATCTTCTCCGTCACGCAATCCTCGCTTGCGTGTCCTCTCTTATTTCCTGCCACCCCACTCCACACACCCCGGGATCCCGTCGCCTGAGGACCCACGCCCCCTCCTCACTCATCTCACATGGGTGCCATGAAGATCTTCATCTTCGGCTGAGGATCTGGTTCAGGTTATCCTGTGCCTTCTCAAACGTGGTTTCGAGATAAGTAAATTTCTTCTGGAGGTCATTGATATCGCCCTCGGCGCTCTTCTTCTCGTTCTCGAGGCGGGTGAGGACGGAATCGAGATCTTCCATAACGAACCTGCAGTCATACACCATAATTAGATATAAAATCAAGTCAATATCCCAAAGAAGGAAGCCAGAATCGATGGAATTTTCAGGTGCAAAAACGTTGTGAAGCTGTAGTGTGCGTGCGCAGGGAAAAAAAAAAAAAAAAAAGACTGTCACAACGCAAGAAAGCACATCGAACCACACACTACACAACCACACAACATGGATGATGGGGGCGGGGATAAGGGAACCACAGTACATTCTCCCAACGCCCTCGTAAACCCTTGTAGATTTGGGCATCGTATCCAACTCTTTGGAAGTCAACTGCAGAAGCCGTATGTCACGCTGTTTGGCCGCCATCTGGGACTTGACGATCTGGAGCTGTTGCTGGGAAAAGGTGGCGCGCGCCTCGATCTCTTGCATCAACTATCAATCCGACGAAAGCGAGCGGTAGGCAGCTTGGTTAGCTTCGTTTCGTATTTTTTCCCCCCCGATCCAAATCCTCCTCCGGAAGAGGGGCAGGGTAGATAGGGAGATAACGGAGGTGAGAGAGCGAGGGGAGGTATACCTTCTGGAGAGCTTCATTTGGTATCGACATTGTAGCGTGCGGGGAGCGTTTGAAGCGTTGAGGTAGGGGTGTGCGCGTGAAAAAGGGGTGAAAGTGTGTTACCGTAGAAAAGGCGGGCAGTGCGGGGAGAGAAAGTGAGGTTGTTTGCTCTCCCCCGTTCGCTTACCGGTAGTGGTGTGAGGCTCTGCTCGGAAAACAGGGATATCGTTGTCGCTCCCTTCCCGTCGGCGCGGGGCTGCGAAAGAAAAAAAAAAAAAAAAAGGAAATGCGCAAAAAGCCTTCCTGTATGATACTCGTATATACCGGTATTCATGTCATATCATAAAAAAAACCCCTCTCGAAACATATTATTAACAGGTTTCCACAAATACCCGACACACACATCCCCTTCAGAATCGTTTCATTAGCAAAAAGAAGGTTTCTCAAAAGAGCCCTACCAGCTCCCCTCGATCAGCAAATTGCAATCGAGTGACAACCCGTGAATTCCCGACCAATGACCCACCACCCCCAGTGGACTTTTTAAACCCTAAAAGGGCAAAAGCATAAAAGATTGGCAGGGAGCAGGGTGTGTGTGTGTCGATGTTGATTTTGATCGAAATCAGTTGGTGCATTCCGACTAGCTCGTCTCAAAACACAAGCCTTCCGTCGCTCAACGAGAGCCTGCAGAGAGTTATTTTTTTTTCCCCGATAGATGTATTGGATTGAAGACCGGGTATCTCTCTTCGGAGCTGACCAAGAGCAGAGGAGGTGGAGATCCTCTCATGGCCATGTTTCTCAGGCGCACACACCACTCGCGCTGACATGACCCTTGCGCCTGTGAATGAAAAAAATCTTCCCCAAGGCAAGAACCCCGATAAATTATCTCCCACCGACTTTATGAAAAAGGAAAAGAAAAAGGAAAGAAAGAAAACGTTCCCGCTGGGATTCAATAAGTTACAGTAATCACCCTAGTTCGCCTGCCCGACCATCAAACCGCTGAAACAAATTTCCCTAACTTACCGGTATCCCAAGGGGGAGGTTATACATGTACTGTAACCACCTCCTCCCCCCCATTTCTGCAAGCCGCTTTGATTCCAAGTTGCCCACCCAGTCGAGTCACATCATTCCATACGGCAGCTATAACGCTCTGCAGCCACATCTCTCTCTCTCTCTCTCTCTCTCAGGGCAAAAGCTCCAATCGGATATTGACTACCGGTATCATACCTGTTGAACCCAACCCAACCATGCAACCACAAAACCACGCTGGCAAACTCTTGGCGAAACGAGTGATTTGGTGTGAAGTCTGCTGGGGGGTGGGTGTATATGTAAGAACAAGGCTGGCGAACAAAAAAACAAAACGAACGAGCGAGCGAACACGCACAATGCACAAACGCACGCACACCCACACACACACAAACACAATTTTTTTTTTTTTGTGTGTGATATCGCTGCTATCACGAGTTAGGGGAGGAGGATTGGTGTTTCCCGATCCGTGGCTCTGGTAAAAAAAAAGGGGGATTAAAAAAAGACTCCTGCAACAGATCTAGACACGTCCACTGCGGTGGCACTTACAGCCTTGCCTACCTCACCTTACCCTACTTGTTTGCATGTTTGCTTGCTTGATTGCATGAGGAGAAATGGAAACAGGCACAGGCACCCACCACATTCGTAGCATAACCCCTACGGTGCATTACACGCAGGTGCAAATATATAGCAGGGTTCAGCTTTTTTCTTTTTCATCGGGAAAAAAAAAAGGGAGGGGAATAAATAGATTGTTATGAATGAGGTAGTCGGGAAGCGCCGCACCGTATATCGAATATCGTGCCGATCTGGAAGGAACTTTGAAGGCCTGCTTAGCCTAACTCAGCTGCTGTCCCTTGATCCGTGTTGCAGATTTCGAAGCTTGCCTTAGGTACAGTATAGTAAACTAGGATCTTCTTCACCAAAGGTAGTAAGCAAGTAAGTAATCACGGTCGGGGAGCTCTTGCTTGTGAACTTGACTTGATTGGTGGAATATGTCTACATGATTGATACGAGTACATGTGTATCATACTATCCGATATCGGAGGGCTCTAGGGAACTAAAAGGTTACAAATACACATGAAGGGATGGTCCCCTGCCCCCCCCCGCGAAAAAAAGGCGCAGGTGAATAACGTGGTGGTATAATTTTGAAGTGTACCTAGTACTGTACAGTACAGTACCTTCCGGGTATCAAACATATCCTTTTCCCCTCTAAAATATTTTCTCTCTCTCCCTCTTTCTCTCCTTTGCTTCTGCGCATGTGCTGTTGCTGCTTCCTGTCTACCTATCTATCTACCTGTCCATCGGTCGGTCGGTCGACTCACGTTCACCTGTAGCACAGAAACAATCGACCAGGTATCATAATGTATCCTGATATGCGTACTATGCGAGGTCCCCCCGCCAATCACTGACCGATTGTACTATCCACCATGTGTAATCGTCATGGGGACTCACTCGGACTTGGCAAAGGTGAGGTATCAGAAGTATCAGAATAATAATATTGTTATTATCCATAACTTGAAAACCTTTACCTTTACCGGAGGGGCTTATCCGGCCAGCCAGGGAAGGGTAAAAAGGGATCCCAATTGCACTTGGGAAAATATTCGATTATTTCAAGGGTGTGCAAAGTGGAGGGGGTAGGTGTGTATGCGCTCGTTTTTTATTTTTTTACACTTTTCCATTTTTTCCTTCTGTTTATGCTTATGTTTATGTTCTGGTGTGATGACTTTGGATTTATTATATCACACGTATATTGATATCTAGCTTTGGACGCTGGCGTCGTTGCAACTGCCAACAGCGTCCCGGACTTATTGCAGACCAAGTGGGTCAACATGGGGGGGGGCCTTCAGGTAGTAGGTTTTTTTATTTTTTATTTTGCCTACGAGAGGCATCGGCTACCTGTATTACCCCTTCTCCTCCTGCCCTCGTGGCGAATGGAGGGGGACAACTATATATGATAATAATTATTATGATAACCACTGCGCGTGTCTAACCCTCACCAGGGCGAACAACCAAGTCCCAACTATCCTACCCTCCTACCCTATCCATTCTAGTTCAGCGAGCATAACAGCAGCAACGCAAGTGGGCGTTGAGTGAGACACGCCATCATAGTCCGGGGGGGGGGGGGGACGTGTTGCCGGAGACCTCGGGTGCGGTAACTTACTGTACGATAGCACATCCCAGACATATGATACTGTATTATACATACAACACCAACACTGCTGGAAAAGCTCCTATGCAGGTTAGTACCCCCCTCTATATTTCCATCTGTCTATCCGACCGTCCAGCTCGTCGCAAAGTCTCCATGCACAGCCAAGAACGCCCATCCCCAACGCACACTATATATCATAATACATCCGCGTTATTTCCCTCATCTAACCCCGTGTCCATCTCTCGACATGATGACGAGACGAGACGAGACGAGACGGAAAGCTCCGAACGCCACGTAACTCGAAGGGCTATACTTTCACAACGAGACTAACGTTAGATAGGTCCCGGGGGCGCGTTTGAGAATATGCTGTGTTCGATGCTAATTAGTTTTTGAGGGCGATTGGGGAGATCATTAGAGATGGATGAGCTTTCTTATTGACTGTACCTTCTGGGGGTATTTGTTTACGGATACCAAGTCAGTTTGGGGAAACCGTGTTATCAGCCAGGAAAACAAATGTTTTTACCCAAAAATTTTTCGTCGTGAGTTTGAACCCACAATGGGGGAGAAGAACAGTTGAGGAATATATTCATGGGATGTCACTCGTTATCGAACTTCTGCCCTTAGTTGCGATAGACGGACCGTAGTCGACGATCCGTATTATACGAGCCTATCCTGTGGAAAAAAAGAAGGAAAAAAAAAGGTTGGGCATCACACTTGCTTTCTCCGACTATTACTTGTTTTTTTTTCCTTTTCTTTTTAAACCAAGGAGAAAGTGAAAGTGAAAAAGTTATGTAATACTCAGATTGTACAGTACAAGGTCACCGTTTTCACAATCGGTCTATTGTGGTAACAAGTTTCCCCCGGACAACTATAATACTGCTATATACCATTATTACTCAACCAAGAGGCGCTAGCTTAGTCTATCCACCCATCGATGGACTGTTGTGTGAACCACTACTACCTATTCCACCCTATCCCTTCTCTCCCGCCGCCAGCGTATCATACTGGTAATCTATCTATCTATCGTATCATGCACTACGCTATAGTGTAGTGCTCACAAATCCTACATTCACAATCAGTTTACCATGTATGGCATCATACAGCGCAAACAAGACTACCTACCATACCTTGGGGGAAGAAGAAGAAAAAAGACCAAGAACTGTGAGAAGCGCTGGTGACTAGCTGGGGGGTGGGTTTATAACAATGTCATAGTGTTGTTGTTGTTGTGTGGATTGATGTAGGCCTCGCTTCCCTCGCCTTGCAGCCTTCTTCGGGGGATCCCGTGTCCGACCTTCCCGGTCTGGGTTATCATAACTTACTGGTTCTCCATGGGTCATCACTCGACGGACGAGTGATTGTTTGTGTATGATATCTTGTCTAGTCTGTTGGTTCGGTCATTGGGGATCTAATTGTCGTTATATTATGATACTTCTAACTAACTATCGCATCATATACCTCTATCCTATCAATCGCGAACCCCCGACGCTCTTCCCTCTCCTTCCTTCCGTTTTGAGCCTAGAGACAAGGGAAATAAAACATGTAAAAGCAAAAAAAAGCAAAGGCTCGATTTTGACAAATGGGAGAAACATGGAAATGCAAAAAAAAAAAACACCGGAACATTACCCCCCCTCACACCTCACGGCGGCCAACCCCTACTTAACAGTACTAACCAAATCCCTATACAGCTCTTTCAAATCCAGCACATCCTGGCGCAACTCATCCACCAGCTCACTCTTCTCACCGAGCATCTCAAGTGTGTACTCCTCCCTGCGCTTGAGCTCCTCCACCTCGTTTTCCAGCTCCTTCACGCGCTTCTCCGCCTCGCGACTAGCCTCCACTTCGCGGACCATGTCGACCACCTCCCTCCGAGCATCGTCCCGCTGTGCCTGCACCGTTTCCATCTCCTCGCGTATGGCGGCTAACTCCGACTCCAACCGGCGGATGGTGGATGACATGCGCTCTACCAGTTGCACGGATGGGCCCGCGGCAACAGTCGACACGGAGATCATATCTGGGTGGCGCGCGAGCGATTGCGGGTACGGGGATGTCGAGGTTTGGTAGGCGTATGGTCCTGTGGAGGAGGTAGTGGTGGGGTTTATGGGGGTCTCATAGAAGTCGACGGGGACGGGGTCGAGGTCTTCTTGCTCTGGGTCGGTGGTTAGTTGTGTCGTGCTGATGGTGTTTTGCGGGGAGGCACGGGATGGGGAGTTGTGGATTGGCAGGGAGTCCTGGCGGATAGAGAGTGGAGGGGTGCTAAAGCCTCGATGGGATGGTAGTGGCAGTTGCCCCGCGGGTGGGGCGACTAAACCCAGGCCCTCTGGAGTAGTTGGTGTTTCCGAGGGCCCCGGAGAGCGGGAGTTTTTGCGATGGTTGTTATTATTAGAACCTAGGAAGTAGCTTTCACTGGTGGATAATGGGCCCGAGAACTTCCTTATCGAATGCGCAGACGTAGGGGGTAGAAGTGGAGCTTGAGGTGGCGATGAGAAAGCGCGAGAGGCTTCAATCCATTTTGTGCGCTCTTCTTCTAGCCGTGCCTGTAGCTCCTTCTGCCAGCTCTCCCGTTCTCTGGAAAATGTAAGGCCCAGTGCAGAAATCTCCTCCGTGTGCTCTTTCTTGAGCTCTTCCAGTTGCCTTTTCAGCGATGTGAGTTCTGTATCCAAGTCGTTGATTTTGGACTGCGAGATTTCCAAGTCCAGGTCGAGGGTTTTGGATTTTGCACTCTGTGAGAAGGGTTAGCGTGTGTATTTCTGGGTGGGGGCGATTAATCGTATCATACCAATTCCCTGGCTTTCCTCCGCACATCCGCTTCTTTCTTGGCCAGCTGGTCCCGCTCCTTCTCCAAGTTTGAAATCCGGCCTAGCATGCTTCCCTCAATGCCCTGCCAGTTCTCACTAGCGATGGCATACTGTGTCTGCAGTGTTTCAACCTTCCGTAAGAGCTTTGCATGGGCATCTCCGGAAGCTCCGCTAGAAAACTCTTCAGCCCTGGCTCTCAAAGCCTCCATCTTGCTTTCCATCATCTGTGGACCCAAGTCAGCCATATCTCACAATCACTCGAGTCATATGACAACGCACAGACTGCTCTCCCTTCAACTCCTCCTCCATTATCCTCGCCCTCTCGGCGTCCCTCTCAATCTTGGCCTTCAAATCTTGGACTTCGCTTTGTAGTCTCTCCTCAGCTAGCGTAGCTTCACTTTGAACCCTCTCAACCTCAGCCTTTAATTCAACCGTGACCCTCCGTTCTTTCTCAAGCATCTCGGCCTGGGCTCTGCTCTCCGCATCCTCCGCCCTATCCCTAACCTCCTCAAGTTTACCCTTAAGCTCAGCAATGACTTTTGCAGAACTTTCCTTCTCTCTCCTGAGGTTTTCCACCTCACTCTCAAGTCTCACAGCCCCTTTAGCCCTCTCAGAAGCCCTCTTCTCATTCTCCACAGCACGCTTAGCTTTCTCTTTGGCGTCAACAGCCTCCTTCTCTGCCCTCTCCGCGCGCTTCTTAGCCTCCGCGGTAGCCTTCTCCTCCTCCTGTGTCTTGGCGCGGAACTTTTTAATTGAATTCTGCAGCTTCAGTTCATTTTTGCTCAGCTTCTCCCCTTCTTCCAGCAGAAGCGCAATCTTCTCTTGGGCTTCCGCGAGCTTCTTTTCCAATCCTGATGGGGCACTATTGGCTTTCTGCCTGGCCGCCTCGGCAGACTCGCGCGCAAGGTAGCGGATCTTGTCCTCCAGTGCATCAATGCGCTCCGCCGCGGTGTGTGATTCCTCCTGTCGCCGGGCCTCGCATAGCGCTAGGTCCTCGCGGAGGAGCCTGATTGTGGTTTCTAGGTCTTCGCGGGAAACATCGGTGTGGCCGTTCGTTTCTAGTGATCCGCGCGGGGATATGATTATTTCCGGGGGAGGCGGGGGAGCTGGTGGCGGGTCGGTTGTGGGTTTCAATGCGGTGGAGTCCGTAGATGGACGTGCGGGCGACTCCCCTAGCGCTGCTATAGGTGGTCGATGCTCGCCTTCTTCATTATCGACCGGCTCCCCATCTTCGATCCCGGGACTCCGACTCCTATCCCGCTCCTTCCGAGCTGTCGCGGCTGCTAACCGCTCCTGTAGACTTATTCTCCCAGCTATTTATTCCATTAGCCTCCCCAAAGCCTCTCATAACTCGTAGAACAAAGATACCTTTCACAGCAACAGTATTTGCGGCTTTCTCCTCCGCTTTCGTCTGCTGCAACGTCGGCGGCGGCGGCGGCGGCGGCGTAGTACTCGTTTGTCCCCCGGGCTCATCCAACAACACCTTATCCAGCCGACTCTCCAATCCGGCAAGCCCCTTCTGTAGGAAATTCATCCTGACACACACACTCTCTCGCGCCCTTTGCGGCTGCAGCTGCTATTGTAGCGGTCTTTCCTTGGCGGGGGTGAAAAACGAGAGGATTCCAGAATTCTGTGAAACGCGTGCGATGTGGGGGGAGGGGTGTGGGAGATTGTTGTTATTTTTAGGTACGTATGGTTCCTAGGCCGCCTGTCATTCCTCACCTGCGCCTAGGTACCGTGCAACCTCACTTATATGCATACCGGTACAGTACGAGTACTGGGTTGACGTTTTGTCAACATGATAATATTATGATAACAGTTGTGTTTACAAACTTCACCCCATCACGAGCACTGTGCTCAGCAAAAGTTCACCAAAAACCATACGACCGTCGTATCATAGTACAACCTCCCTAATAGCCCGCGGTAGATTACACTTATCCCCTAGCCCCTCTTCAGGATGCGGGCTCCAACCGCTCAACCCTATCTTATGGCTATCCCTCCGTCTATCATATATTCAGCACCTCACGCTCGAGCTGTGCCGCCACTTGGGGAAAATATCGATTAACTCCTCGGGGCCATAAATTTCATTGGCTAGGTCACCACTGAGTGAGTGAGTGAAGCCGTACTGTTACGAGCCCAATTTTTGAAGACTCGAGGATATAATACGCACTAAAAGGCTATGGAAACTCGGGAACGAAATAAGTGATGCTTAACCTACGGTGCCGGGAGAGCTGACAAGTACGATACCCAAACTGCCCCCCAAACAGTATATCCTCACTACTAAACTCATTTTCATGAAATCTGCCAACTTTATATGATAGATCGAAACCACGTTGAAAGACAACCCCATAGAAATAAAGCAAAAGTAAGGAATCAACTCAATGTTAGTTAGTTAGCAAGCCATTAGTGTTAACAATTTGCCGGGATATCGGAAATATAAAAGGCGGTGTCGGAAAGATGCAGGGTGACTTGGGAACCATAAAATGGCAGATTAGAATTCTCTTCATGGCAGTGGTAGGGAGAGGTAGAGTTGTATGATAAGTTGTTTTTTTTAAAAAGCTTCTTGGTATTAGTTTAGGCACTGGCACCGACGGGACTTTGCAGCTTCTTGCCTGGTTCATTGGGCAAGAACCGTCCGGGGGTCCGAGAACCGATGAGCCGGAAAAACTCGTGCAGAAAATTTTGGGCAACCAGTACGAGTACGAGTACTCGTACACCAAGTGAGACAAGGGGCCCGGGTTCCCAGAAAGCGGAAAGTTGATCACTATTTTTGTCTTTCCCTCTCTTGCCCCTTCCCCCCTATTTTATCCCTTCCCTTTTCCCCCCCGTTATGATACTTCATAGAAAACCCCTTTAGAACCTATCTATTAAATTTTTATTTTATTTCCTCCGGTCGCCCTCCCTGGCAGGCCCGGTGCACCGCGCCATATACCACCACTACATGATATCATGCACTCACGCCTTTTTCTTAACCTCCCCGTTTGGCCCTGTTGAGACTCCATTCCCAACTCCATTTGCTTTCGCGTTCACAGCCAGTCCCTTCCTCCTCCTGACAACGGGCAAACTCCATACCCTCTCCCAAATACATTCGTACTCCCCCTGCCTCCCATCTAGACAAGACCTCAGCCAGATCCCATAGACAATGTAATAGTATGCCCCCCAACCCGTGAGTAGATGCCACCACCCGTGACCCTCCAGTAGCCACCCCCACGGCATGCCCACCTCTCTCCTCGCTAGTCGCAACTGCGAGCAATACGCATTGTCCGCGTTCCAGAGGAGGAACCCACTCAAGAAGAAGCTCAGGCCGTAGCGCACCATCGTCCACATCCGAGTCACGGTCGCGGATTGCGTGCTGCGGAGGCGGGTTTCCATCAAGTACCAGGAGCGGAAGAGAACAATGGTGGTTAGGAGGGCGTAGGCATTTTGATGGAAGACTGGGTCTTGCAAGTGATGGTAGATTAGGGTTATCGAGCCGGCGATCGTGAGGAGGAGTAGGCCGAGGAGGGTCTGGATTGTGGGGGTGTGGCCGTAGCCGAATGTTGCTGTGGGAGGTGTCAATTTATGTGTAAGGGGGAGAAGAGGAAGGAGGTTACCCCAACACATCAAGCAGGTAGTATATATCATACTCAGTTCATCGACTAGCTGCATCGAATCTACACCCCTCCACCGTCAATAAACCCCACCACTGCATAAAACCCGTACAAGAGGGGGGGGGTTTACACCACAAAGTAGCATGAAACAAAAAACTCCCACAGCCAACGAGCAAGTACCCCAAAAAGGTAATCAAAAAGATCCTATCATGTCCTTCAGAAATGCAATTCCTGAGCCCTTTCCAGCCAAGGTAAATAAACATGCCATTTGTGAGGGTATTGATGATTTCCGCGCAATCTATTGTCTCCCGTTGCGTCAGCCCTATGGTGTAGCACGGATCCCGTAGCAGAGGTAGCACCCACAAGTCGTAAGGTAATAGTCCTCCTCACACCAACTACAAGTAAATCGACAACTGTTAATATCCCACCAAGTACAGTATAGATAGTAGTAGTAGTAGTATCAAAGTAGCAACAGGAAAGAGAGAAAGAAAGAGGAAAAATACTTCAAAGTAGCAGTCTCGGGCCCCCATCGATGCACCTTCTCCAGCCCGTACGGAATACCCCACCACATCTTCTCTCCTCTTCTCAAAAGCGGTTAGGGGAGTGTATTTTGGGGAGAGGGAGATTAGAGGTCGCTGCACCCTGCACTTTAAAGACTCTCTAATGGCCGAAGACAGCTTCAATCCAATTCAATCTGTCCACTTCACTTCCTTCCCTCCCTCTTTCTACTCCTCTCTTTCTCTCCACCTTGCTGACTCGCTCACTCACCCTCTGCTCTTTTCAGCTAAAAAAAAAAAAGGTGCGTGGGGATTCAGCATACAAGAGCAACAGGCCACAAAAGTGCGTTACTATACGATAGGGTAGGTATAATAGGTATTGTGTTGTACCAGCCTGCTGATACGGCAGGATGAGCGGACGAGCAGAGTAAGTAGATATAGAAAAGAGAAGAGAAGAGAAGAAATGGAAAGGGGGAACCCGTTTATTGTAATGCAATGCAATGTAATTAGGCAAGTAATGAACCAAGAACTACATAAGTTGAGCAGAGCATGAGCTTTCAATAAGCCGGGAACTTAGGCAAAGAGTGTGGGCGAGCGAGAGGGTGAAGGAAGAACGGATATTGGGAACTATTCAAATGATCTAGGGAGGGGGGGAGTGGCCGGTCCTTTCTTTTAGGGTGGATGAGGGTAGGATGGGATGGACGAGAAGGGGGGGTGGGTAGTGGAAGAGGAGGGGATCGGGATTGCTTTCCCAGTCAAAATTTGACAAGAACTCAAGAAATAACTCAACAGAGGGAAGGGAAGAAGAAGGAATCCTTGTGAGCCCACGTTCTTATAGGTAGCTTCACTGGGGTACGATACCGTGTTCTGGTGTTGGTGGGAAAGAAGCTCGCGAAGGTAAGCTTGGGATGGGTGAGGTAGAGAAATAAAATGATTCAAGTTGAGGCAGACGCGGCAATGATGCAGATGCCACAGTACCGATATGATAGCCTCTACTCGTACTGTGTGGTACCGGTATTGGGTAGGTGTCACCGAGGAACAGGAACCGAAATGGGATGGGTGGAAGCCTGCCTGGAGAAACTAACATCCAGAGGAATCTCTCTCCCCATAACCTAAGCAACCTTGGCCGAACGACGATCATCATCATCATGATGTTAACAAATCACCGTTCTATCATATAAATCTACCGGTAGGTGCCCCCTCTCTGTATCTTATTGCACAATGTGTGCTTGTATACATAACCCATACTTTACTTTTTACTTCATCCCTGCAGATATAATAATAAATAATAAAAGAACTGGGAGAGTTGAATTCTCCCTCCTCCTCCACCAGAAAAAAAAACCCCCGTTCGGGACAAATGTTAAGAAGCGCGCCCAAACTCCGAACACACCACCAACCTATCGTAGTAGACCCTCACCTCCTACTTGTGCTGCCCTTCTCCCACTACGAAGCCTCCGGCTCACTTGACTCCGATCGAAAGAACGGAGGAATCAGGTCGATTTCTTCGCTCTCTCGCGTTCGCGCTTGGCATAGATTGCGCCGGTGAATGGACTATTCATGGTCAGCCACCGTTCGTTCATGCAGTCATGGTTGATAAAGGAAATTTTGCGAGGATGGGAGATAACGTACTCCTCAAACATGAGAGCCATTTTATAAACGATGAATACTTCGATGGTTAGAAGGATACCGGCTGGTTTTGCGAACCTGGAGGATTTGGTAACCCGATCAGCAAGGGCGAAGGCGGCAGTGAGGGGAGAGTCCGGTACGATTACTTACCAAAGGGCACTTCCCAAAAACGCCATGGTAGACCCATAGTACATCGGCGCATCAGTAACGTTGAAAGGAAAGCTGGTTACACGGTGGTCCATCAGGATGCCGAAGTAGTCACCTTTACCAACCCCACCCTCACCGTCAGCACAGTTCCCTTCCTCCTCCTCCTCGTCAACGGGACAAACGGGAAGAAAGGGGACAAACCAAGATAAGTCCCCGTAAACCCCAACGCCCACATGGACGTCAAAACCAGCACGTTCCCACAAAAGAACAGCGCCAGCGCCGCAAGCTTCACGGCATCGGTCTGGAGAACATCCAACGATGGTTGCTGCCGCAACGCCTGCTCGTAGAGGAAGTCTCTAAAGATCCCGATTCCGAAGATCACCGCGGCGAGGAAGTAACAGCCATAGCGGGAATTGCCTCCGAAGAGTTTGGTCAGAACCTTGTTGTGGTATTCTTGTCGAGCGACGACACTACGTTCCCCCGTTAACGGCCGGCCCGATCGAGAAAAGGAAAAGAAAAACGTACTTCCAGAAAATAGGATTAAAAGCAATTGATCCCGCCGCAACTGTTTGCTCCCGTCCTCTAAATCAATTACTGTCTATGGCCGAAGAATAGCATTGGGAAATCACCTAGCAAACTCTTCTGGTCAAAATCAACTAGGTCCATCACCGTCGAGTTCGCGAATAATTTCGTAGGCATTGTTCCGGGTGATTACTTGGTGATGGGGATTATTAGGATCAAGGGGTATCTGGAAGTTGGTAGTGTCGTAGTCGGGGTAAAGGTCGATTTTTTAAAGTGAAGTGTCTCCCAAAACTGAAACATCACTGGACAAGCCGAATCGGGACCTGAGAGCCATAGGGTTAGGGCTGTGTGTTGTAGAGCCGCAATGGTTGGCTCGTAGGGGGGTTGGGAGCAACGTGTTATCTGGGAGAATCCCTGTCACGAAATGATGACATATGTTTTCATAGGAAGTCACTCGCGGAGAGCGCAGCTAATAGATTGAATATCAAACGGGACCAGTGGATGGCAACAATAGTGGGTGCTAGGGCTCGATGTGCTGTAAGTTCACCGGTATGATATGATACCGGTAGAATATAAAGCCACTAGAGTTATTGCAGCTAGACCGTACAGGCCCAAACAAGTATCGTGAATGTTTTACCATATGCAGGACCCACCTCAGCCCTCCAGTGGAAAAACTCGTTGCTACAGGGGGCATAGTTCAGGGACTTCATGCCCATTCTTTCTTTTGGATAAACGAAACTTATATCTAGCTTATCATATTATCCCGTCAAACGACATTAACCTTATATGTTTGGCCTTTCCCAACCCAAGCAATCAAGTTAGTGATCAAGCCCTATGAGGAAGTACCAAGCCTTCTCCGTGGGAAGATTAAAACAAACATAACTCTCGTGGGACAGTGGAGCAACAGGAAGCGTCTTCCTGGCTGGGCGGTGCCTCTAGAGTACCTTTGGACCAGCAATGTGGGGAAGTCCGAGCACATAGACTATGGGCTATAATAGAATCCATCCAGGTATCTCAATCTCTCAGCTCGATGGGAACCACCAGTATCCAAGATAACACCGCAATCACCATCCGTACGAGTAAGTATATTCGCAAACGGCGGCGGTAGGGAATGTTCTACCAGGTGTGGTGGTGAAAGCTCCCTCCCGGTAGGTTGCATCTTGGCTTTTGAAAGGAGGGCATGGTCACATACTATTCTATTCCTCTCCTGTTTCTGAAACGGATTTTGTGCCTGTACAGTAGTGTTGGTGCCACAGGCTGCCGTAGAACATGTTTCTGGGCAAATACGATGAACATCTTACAATATCGCGACAGGGCTATGGAAGACCGCAGGGGATATTGCTCGGTTGTTAAACTATCTAAGCGAACCTCTTCGGTGACTTGAGTCTCCCCTTCGCATCGCCATTGTGACAGTCTGAGTAAGCGACAGTTGTAAGAACATTTTAGGGAATATGGGGTTGGCGCATGATAACCAATGATATGCCGTCGTTCAAAATAGAAGCTATGCAGGAAGAAGTTTTCCCTTCCATACTCAATAGAATGCAGTCATCCGACTACCGCTTGTGAATGAAACCGCTCTTGCAGATGGCACGGGTGCCTTGGTGAGTTCATTGGGCTTCGCCTGATATGTAATACTCCGTCTTCTGTAGAATAGCGACGGTGACAGTGCTATCTAGTCATGACTTCCATTCGTTTGATAATCTTGAGCCATTGGCCGTCATTAGTGGACTTGATGGAGGCAGTGAATTTAGCATCACTATTACCATTACCATTTCTATGATTATTGTCATTTTGAAAAGGAAAATTCCGAATTCGAATTTTCCCTTTTTTGGTGGGAACGGACATATTGAACTGTGGGGGTGGCGGCCGGAGATTTGTGACTCTTTGGATAAAAAGGAAGCTGTTGAATGGGACCAGTACGGAATTATAGCAGTGGTTTGAGCAGGGACATGGCGAGACTGAGGTGAGGGACATCAGATCGTATGATGACTTGAAGCCATATTTCCATTTACATTCTGTGTTGCCCAGCTACAGATATTCACTCACCAAGGGAGCTAAGTTGCACAGCAAAGTAAATCTCACAGGATTCGAGTGCACTATAGAATCTACTACCGGTAAATATTTCAAAAGATCTACGACAGCAGAATCGGTGTATGAGCGTATGGTATAGGCACCAAGCCCTATGCGTCTCGTTGGTCCATGTTCCCAATTCCGCTTATTTCAATGTACGGTGCTCCCCCATTGCCACTAGCAGCCATAATATGTCACTCGGGGGCAGGAGTCCAGGGTATCGCAATGGAAACGTGGCGGGAGGGGCCACTTCAAATAAACGGATACAGTGCCCATTTCAGGTCGTTAGGAGCGCGGAGTGAGCAATTAAGTACACCCAGAATGGTGGAGTGCGTAAATTCTTGAGCCCCAACGGGTCGCTATCGTTTGAGAGCGGGGACAGGTTCCGGGTGTGATTTTGGCTCGTCGTCGGATAACTTGATCAGATTAAACAAGAGACTAGACAGTTTCTCTTTCCACAACTGAGCACTCGGCCCCGGTGGTATTATCACTGATAGAAATTTTGTTGTGCAAAGGTGGATTGGTCCCCGTCGTTGAGATTGGGACACTGGCGGGGAGAGGACCAAATTACTATTCACCCGCAATCAGCGCGAGTGCCAATGGTAGAAAAGCTCTGGTTCTCCTCCCATTACAGCTCACGCTTCTACGAAAGCTATCATAACTTCGGACTTCCTCCATAGTGCTAAGGTCTAGGGCCAAACCATTCCCCATTCTCCCAGAAACAAAATTCACAAATAGTCAATGGCGGTCCTAGCCCCGCTGTTCTTGTAAACCCCATTGCGACAGTCCTCAATGGTAGTCACCCTCGCCGTTTGCTCGCCCCCCCACTACTATATAATGTTTCCTTCCTTCCTCCCTTCTTTCCTTTCTCTCCCCTTTCCTTCTTCAACTACGACACAACAGAGAAATCACCATCACAACACATACTACTTCCCCAGCGTTTGTACTGTTTCCTCTGTCGTAGTTTTACTTCCCTCTCGTGTTCCATCACATTTCCTCTTCCTTTTCCACCTTTCATTACCAACCAACTTTACTTTACCCCCATCCCATCACAAGATGGCAAGAACTAAAAGAACACCATTCCGGTCCTACCCGGGCACAGGAAATCCTATATCCACGACGCAAGCTCCTCCAACCCCCCCCCCCAAAAATCTCCTACATTGCTAACATCTCCGCAAGATTATCTCAAACAAAGTCGGCCCAAGCGCCGCTAGCACGATCCGATTCGGTGAAATTTAATCGCGAGGGAAAACCAGTCGTCCCAGCCAAATATGATGATCCGCTTTCCAAGTCCATTTATTACAAGGGCAAGGCATACTCAACTACGCCCGCGAGGGCCACCGATCAGGAGATTGAAGACGACCTAGCACAGATGAGGATGACCTGGGACGGGAAACCTTATGTCAAGCCTGCAGTTCCCGAAGAAGTTCTCCCTGAATTCGATAATTATGGTTACAGAGGTCGCAAGGTTTTGAAGCCGAAGAGCAGGATGGAGAGCAATGTGCGCAATGATCCTCCTACTGGAGAGGAACTTGTCTTTGACTATAGCAACAAAGCCAAAGACGAGAGGATCTGGCGTTCGAGTGAGACGTCCAATATGCGCGATGAGCCTTTGGTTATGAAGGGGGTCATCCAGGCTAGCCAACCCAAAGACAAGGAGGCCGAATCTTCGATTGAGATGCCCGACGCCAGCAATGGGTCCCCCAATACAGATGAGGGAGAAGATATAGCTGCGATGGCGGACATTCTCATTAAGGCTTTTCTTGAGGCGGATGATTTCGGTCCTGCCCAAGCCCCTGAGTTGGAGGACAAATCATCATCTACCTCTACCAACTCCAACATGGAGAGAGAGACTCTTATGGAAAATGTTGTCCAAGATAGCCAATTCGAAGATAAGGAGCCCGAGACTTTGCCCGAAACGCACAACATGCACTGTGAGGATTTGGTTATGGAGGAGGTTGCCCTGGATAGCCAATTCAAAGAAAAGGAGCCCGAGACTTTGCCCGAAACGCACAACATGCACTGTGAGGATTTGGCTATGGAGGAGGTTGTCCAGGATAACCAATCCAAAGACAACGAGGCCGAGAATTTGCCCGAAGCACACAACATGCACTGTGAGAATTTGGTTATGGAGGAGGTTGCCCAGGATAGCCAATTCAAAGACAACGAGGCCGAGAATTTGCCCGAAGCACACAACATGCACTGCGAGAATTTGGTTACGGAGGAGGTTTCCCAGGATAGCCAATTCAAAGACAAGGAGCCCGAGACTTTGCCCGAAGCGCAGAACATGCACTGCGATAATTTGGCTATGGAGGAGGTTGCCCTGGATAGCCAATTCAAAGAAAAGGAGGCCGAGACTTTGCCAGAAGCACACAACATGCACTGCGAGAATTTGGTTATGGAGGAGGTTGCCCTGGATAACCAAATCAACGACAAGGAGCCCGAGACTTTGCCCGAAGCGCACAACATGCACTGTGAGGATTTGGTTATGAAGGAGGTTTCCCAGGATAGCCAAATCAAAGACAAGGAGCCCGAGACTTTGCCCGAAGCGCAGAACATGCACTGTGAGAATTTGGCTATGGAGGAGGTTGCCCTGGATAGCCAATTCAAAGACAAGGAGGCCGATACTTTGCCCGAAGCGCAGAACATGCACTGTGAGAATTTGGCTATGGAGGAGGTTGCCCAGGATAGCCAATTCAAAGACAAGGAGGCCGATACTTTGCCCGAAGCGCACAACATGCACTGTGAGGATTTGGTTATGGAGGAAGTTTCCCAGGATAACCAATTCAAAGACAAGGAGGCCGATACTTTGCCCGAAGCGCACAACATGCACTGTGAGGATTTGGTTATGAAGGAGGTTTCCCAGGATAACCAAATCAAGGACAAGGAGGTCGAGACTTTGCCCGAAGCACACAACATGCACTGTGAGAATTTGGTTATAGAGGAGGTTGCCCAGGATAACCAATTCAAAGACAAGGAGCCCGAGAATTTGCCCGAAGCGCAGAACATGCACTGTGATAATTTGGTTATGGAGGAGGTTGCCCTGGATAACCAAATCAACGACAACGAGGCCGAGGCTTTGCCCGAAGCACACAACATGCACCGTGAGAATCTGGTTATGGAGGAGGTTGCCCAGGATAGCCAATTCAAAGACAAGGAGCCCGAGACTTTGCCC